GTATTAACAAAAAAAAAAAAGTAAAAGGACAAAATTGCTCTTGACTGTAATTTAAATTCTGAAATTTCATGTTATTAAGCCATATATGTGTATGGAGAGGGAAAGATGGATCGTTTCAAAAAGATAAGCTATCAACCTTTCATCCTCCATAGCACATGAATCTCAAGGATTGACTGACTCTCCCCTTGCAAACCACATTATTATTTATTTTTCAACTAATATCTTTGCCAAACCTTGTCCATATGCAGCCTGTCAAGTAAGGTCAGTGGACCTCACCTGCAGCCTGCTCAGTCTCCAACCTTTAATCTTACTACTGTTATATTATATTTATATTATATTATATTATATATATTCTTAAATTCTCTTTTGTTTAATTAGATACATGAAAATTTACAACACTATCCTTACAAACTTTTACCATCTAACTGCCCTTTCAATTGTCCTACTTTACCAAGTACTACCACAAAAGGTTAAATATATATATATATAATATATATATATAGGTGGGTCTCATTTCCTTCTTTTTCTCCTACAAACTATTACTCTTTACCTGCCTTTTTAAATTTTAATTGCATCCTAATTTCGCTCTAGTTTTAGGGTATCTAATATCTTTTTATTACAAAAGAAATACATTAAAAAATAGAAATAGAAAAAAAAATCTTGAATAAAAAAGAAAGGTTAGAATAAAAATATTAAAAACCACATTTCAAGTTTCACATGTTTTGAAGGTTTTTATAGAAATTAACTGAAGAGTTGTTAAAAACAAAAAGGTAAGACATAACAACTCATCAATTCTTGTTATTACTAAACACTAAATGACTATGATTCTATCTAGCTATGTGTTAAAGTCAGTGGGAATTGAAAGAGTGCTAACAATCTAATTGCTCTCCATTAATTCACAATCCATCAATAAGTGATAATTAAGGCCTCGTTTGGTTTACAGGAATAGAGGTATAGAATTGGAATTGGAACGTCCAACTGTTTGGTTGGGTGTGGAAACGGAATCTCATTCTTATTCCTGCTAGACGGCCATTTCTTGCCTCTTCTTTGGAAATGAAATCCCATTCCTGTTGATTCCTATTTCCATTCCCATTCCTGTCTGAACCAAACAAATTATGGGAATAGACCATTCCGATTCTGACTCTAAAAGATTTCGATTCTAATTCCGATTCTGATTGAAAACCAAATAGATCCTAAATATACATATAGAGCAGAAAGAGTGAAACAGATCCAAATTTAATTATTGGTTATCTACTAGGAAAAAGAAAATAAAAAAGAATCCTTGATAACACAAACCTGTGCATCAGATGAGCCACTGCTAGTAAGATCATAGGTCAAGTGCTCATAACTGCTACTACAAACTGAAGATACACTGCAAAAAAACATGCTTGTATGCAAGCTGATAACTTTCTGCTTCTAAATAGTTATTAGATTGAGGTTTCATTCTTGGTTGTATCCTATCTTCTTATCCTACCCTATCTGTTGACTGTTGTACACACAGAATGGTCCATAAATCCTGAAACCTACTCTTGAAGGGGTGAGGAAAAGTTTACTGATTCACTCATCTGTACATCTTTCATATGTCACCAAATGGCAAAACCATAAAGGCAGCCTACCATTTCTGACTATATTTCTTGATGTCTATCCATTAACAATTAAGAACTACCCCTCTATTAGATTTAATTTTCATGGGATACTGTTTACATGAGAACACCTGATATTAGAATTTTCTAAAAATCCAAAATGCCCTTATTCTGACCTACACCAGACAATGTATATATGAACATAAATCCCCCATTACACCTTTTATTTTATTTTATGTACCTAATTTCCACTCTTAATTATATTCCCCCTCATCCAGTGATTATGTTGGCTTCTTCCATAATTAACTTAAGTAGTAGGGTTTCAAAATAAGAGTTTCAGCTCTGATATTCAGCCCTTAGTCCTTAATAAGGTTTTAAGAAACCAGTATTGCAAAGTGTATCAGTAAGGCTGTAAATGGATACATATTGCAATAAACTTTGGATATGCATTGGAAATACTAAATATAAGGTTGAAATAAATGTGAACAATGTACAAAAACACAAGGAAAACATATTGTTATGGTTTATATGAAGAAGTAGTATTAGAATTGGCATACATCATCATGATATGTTGATACTATACATTAATTTTAATGAGGCATCAACCAAGAATTCAGGACATTATATAGTTTTCTACAAAATACTACATCTATAATATTACTATGTTATTATTTGATTTATGTTAAATAATTATTTTAAAAATATATTAGATCTATGAAAATGTAAAATATCCATAAATCCAATAATCTAAGACACAAATATATTTTTACTACTAAATCAACTATTCTAAATTTTAAATAGTCTTAATTTTGTATATTTCTGAAAATTAAACCAACTTAATCATAAATTGTTAATATGGTAGCTGATTGCAATATAACTTTTAAGAATTTATTAATGTAACTTTTTAAATAATATATTTTATTTTTAATATAATAAATTTGTTGTTGTTTAATCTCAACAATATTATTAATTAATAATTTTTAATTTCTAAACTAACTACTCATCAGTTATGTTAATTTTATTTATTTAAATTACTAAACAAAAAAAGCAGTTTTTAAGATAAATTTTTGATGGGTCAATAGATTTAAGATAAACCATTCAAAGATTTATCTTATAGTTATTTTCTACCATCATAACCATTAAAATAAATTACTTTTTATGAATTTTGGATTTCCCCAAAAACCATAGATCGACTAAGACAAGTAAAAACATCATAAGCCCAAGAAAAATCAATTTGTCATTGCATTTGAAAAACTCAAAAATGTAGATCTACTAAGTCAAATCATTCATAGATTCATCATTATCTTCTTCTTCGATATCAAGTGATTCTGTGGTAGGAGCTCTCCCACAGCAACTAGGATGGAAATAGAAAGCTTGGAAGTGAAAGATGTATGTGCTAGAAAAGTGGGTCGAACTAGAAAACATAAATCATTAGGTCAACACAAGATCCACATCGGTTAATGCAATACAGATTAAAAACCAGAACTTTGGAATGGATGAGAACCAACCTCGTAGAACTTGTGCAGTTGCCTTATGTGCTAATTAATAGCTATGGAAATAAATAAGATATGCCCTATATCAAACATAACTTGTCGGATAATCATTAGTGCCCATTTACAATACACTTAAGAAGATATCATAAATATTTTAATTAGTGGACTTGAATTATCATAAAATATCATAATTAGTAGTAATAGTAATAGTAGTAGTAGTAGTAACTTCTTTGAATAATGGAATGCTTTTCTTTTAGGGGAGAAAGTTGGTCAATAGGATTTTGATTACCATTGATCAAGAAACCCATGTTCCTTTTTTCAGATTTATGTGGGGATTAGGGAAAGTTTATTTTCCTAAGTATCACTTACCCGACAGGGGGGGGGGGGGTAAGTGATACTCATCTCCTAGGTGGGTAAATAACTTTCCTACCGGGGGGGGGGGGGGATTGCCACCACTTGAAGGGGACAAAAATACCTCTTAATAATGGATTTTTATGACTAAAATGGTTATTGTCTTATTTACATAGGAAATAAAAGAACTTCAATTGCATCAAAATAAAAACTTTCTTAGGATATTTTATAACTTTCTTATTCCATCAAAATAAAAACTTCAATTGCATATCTATGCAGACATGTTTAAGAATTTATCAATATTATGAAATATTTTCGACAGGATTTAAAGGCATCAGAGCTTTCAAATTAAAATAAAAAAAATAAATATGCAATTAGGAACATTTGCATCCATCTTCCCAGTTTTTATATTATTAATTTATTTTGTAGAGTTCCCACGTTTTTTGTATTTAAATGGAGGAAATTATGGCACTCATCTTCATTCTCTTAGACAAGATTTTGAACTTTGGAAAAGTTACTTTGTGGGTTGAAATTATATATATAGAGAGAGGATGATCACTTAAGTTGCTTATAGCAAGTAATTATAAAATACAATTTCAAAAGCCATACTTATGATGATGATGATGATGCTGATGATAGGCATTACAAAAGAATTCTCCCATGCATCTAGCTCATTTTGTGCTTTGTTTAATAAAATCAGAATTGCTCTGGGGAGGAAAAAAAAAATATTAAAAGGAAAAGAAAAAGAAGAAACAAAATCCAAGAAGCATAACTACAAATGCATTATGTTTTCCTGCTGGAAAAAAGAAACAAAAAGAAAAAGAAAAGAATTAAACCTAAAAAGAACCTTTTTCTTTTACACCCAGAAAGCAAAAAGAAACAGAAAAAACCAAAGAAGAGAGAAAGAAAAAAAAGCTGAAAAGACGATTATATCCAGGTGTTTTGTGAATATGCCATCCTTGTGAAAGGTACCATCATAGCACTGTCTCGCACAAGAAATAAAAGGAATCTTGCATTGCACACGTGGCTAGTCATGGGGCCTGACCCATCTAGGGTTCCTGTGGCCTCAGACCCCACCCTCCCAGTCTCCCTACGCATTTTTCGCCTATAAAATAGAACATTGAAGGCTCCCATACAAGTGGTGTTACTGTAATTTTGGACAAAAACTGTACCAAAAATCATTGACTGGAGCGTTTGACCAGTCTTTAGAATGCCAGATCTGCCATTCAAACTTGAAAGTACTGGTCAGTACTCAGCAACATTTCTATCACAAATAAATGATGTAGAATCTGTCCGTCCATTTCCAAAATAGAAGAAAAAAACTCCAATGCAACTGTATACAAGTTGTTCCATTGTATTACTCATCTGGACTCCACCACCTTCAGAGTTCAGCCCCTGACCAATCAATGGTAGTATGGGTCCCATCCATTAGACAAGATTGATCAGTGTTCATATCATTGATTGGACCAACACCTGGTTTCCTACAAACTTTTTGATTCCATGAGAGATAGCTGATGATGATAGATAGATAGCTACTTAGCTAGAGAGCCACATAAACACAAAGATGGAGACATGGAATTCAAATTGCTCAACTGAACATCAATTATAATTAAAATGATTAATGGGAGTGGTGCCAAACAAGGAAAAGAAATGGAAAGAACACAAATGTCAAATGGGTTTTGAGCTATATACAGGCAAATGGATGCAAATGCTCTTTTTGGGTGTTTTATCTAGCTCAATAGTTCTTTCTCTTCCTTGCTTGCTGTCTGATGTCATTTTGGTGCAGCTGGGGTCCTGTTAGAAACTAAAGCAAGGATTGAACTGGAGAGCTTGTTAATGGCATCAACAAGACCATTAATGGCTTCCCTATTGATCTCTATCCTTGACTCCTCGATCTTCAGTCTTCTCTCCTGCATTGTAAGAAGGTCTCTGTGCCTTCTTTCCTCCTTCTCCTCACAAGCTTGGAGAGCTTCTGCTATAATGGATGCACTCTTTGAGATTGCAGAACCCACTTCATGTGAGTTGTTACTAGCACTGCTGGTTCCCTCTCCTCTTCTCCTCCTCTTTGCTTGAGATTGTGAATGCTCACTTGTATCAGAATCTGAGCTATCAACATCTCCAAACATAAAATATGGAATCAAACCATGCAATTATCACTAACTCTAGATAATTAAATACCAAGAAAATGCTGTCAATGTGAATATATAAAAGATCAATCGATTATCATCTTCCCTACAAACAAGACAAAAGAAACAAGTACTGAAAAATATGTATTGAATATTGCAAGGGTTGAACTGTATGTATAACATATAAACTCAAGAAAGATAACCAATAATAATTAATTTTGGTTGAATAAAAGAAGAGAGAAAAATAACTAGTCATTCAATACATTACAGAGACCATTGCTGCTCATGTTATGCACAGACACAAACACCATTAAGTTGCATTACTTCTTAAGCAAGAACATTGAATATTGCAGAAGTTTTAAATGGACAGAGAAGTAGTAGTAGATGAGGATGAGGATGACTACCAGCCCTTTAATATTGAACCCAGTGCTATTACTCCTGATTCTCAGGCACATACAACATCAAAATAATTTAGAAAGCAAAGAATAAAATATTGATCTCTCTTGTAGCTGAAGGAAAACCAACGAAAACAAGTTACAAATGAAGTTGTTTTTCTGTTGCTTTGTGCATATCTAGAGAGAGAGAGAGAGAGAGAGAGAGAGAGAGAGAGAGAGGGAGAGAGAGAGAGAGAGAGGGAGAGAGAGAGAAATTACCTAACGTGGGTAAAGGCTGAGATTGTGGGAGAGTTGGAGGTGGAGGTGGAGGTGGTGCTGGTGGTAATGGTAGCGTTGGAGTTGGAGTTGGATCTGAGCTGTGATATTGCAGTAATGGAGGCAAAGAAGGCTGAACGCTAGCCATTGCTTTGTCGACAGCAAGAGCAGAAGTATTAGAAGCAGACCCAGCACTCACCCTCTGAACACCTCTCTTCTCCACCACCTCCACCAAAGCATCATATATCTCCATCACCATATTGGACGGCAAGTTCCTCTCTTTCCTGTCATGCTTCTCAAGCTTCCAGTAACTGTTCTCTTCTCCATCTCCACTCTCAGCCAACCTTCTCTCATAATCTCTCACCTTCTTGTAATCCCTCATCAGATTATCCCACTTGTCGTTACACTGGTTTTGGCTCCTCAGGCACCCATGTCTCCAACAATAGTCTTCAACCCACTTCCATCTCAACTCTGCCGGTCTGCTTCTACCCTCACCACTGTCTCCACCTCTCTTCATTCTCCTCTCTTCATCCATCTTCTTTGCAGAAATCAGAACCAACGTCTCATGAACAGTCCAGTTGCCTTTCCTGTATTCCCTCAAAACATTACTAGCGCCTTGATCAGCCATCACTGAATGCATCTACCTATCTATCTATCTATCTATCTGAAAGACTAATTAACACATAGATAGGATACTAAGAAAGAAAGAAAAATGCATGAAGAAGTAAACTGGTGTATAGGATACTCCCTTATCAATATAGAACTCTTCAAATCTCATAATCAAGGGAGATAAACTATAGAGTTACTTCAAGAACTTGAAAAGGCCATTGATGGGTGGAGCTAAACAAGGATGAGAAGTTGTGATAACATCACCTGTAAGAGAAGTAAGAGAAGGAAGGGATCTCTATCTTTTGTTCTCAGGTTTCTCTAGTGGAGGAGAGGATTGCACCTATGAAAGATCTAACACAGGAGAAGAAGAAAAACAAGACAAACAAAAAAGAAAAGTGCCTAGTTTCTCCCTTTTTTTTCCTTCCTCTTTTCAGTTCCTTTATTTTCTTTCTACCTTTTGATCTTTTGCATTTCTGGGTTCCCTTAAAATCATCACAAATCTTCAAAGTTCAAACTTTAAATCTACAAACTACTAATTTCAACCACTGCTGAAGAGAGAGAGAGGCCGAGGGGGTGAACTAAGAGAAGTAGAAAAATAAGACACACGAGAATAATTGTTGCAAAGAGCAGTATTGTACTCCTGCAACCAAAATCATTTCTGCAACAGCTCTCAGCCGTCTGATCTGCCCCAGAGTGGGGCATGGTGTGGAGTGGGCTCCACTGGGTGTTATTGGGAAATTGAAAATAATAGAGCGTTTTAGCACATAGACAACACAGTTACATTACATCATTGCCTATCCATGAGATCTCCCCTTTTATCCATTATCCACGATAAAAGAGTTGTTGCACAAACGACTTTATTTGTGCAAGTGCACTTTGCAGCAAAACCCTCTACGAGAAAAGGCCAAGCAAATCCATTCAAACTGACAGATCAACAAGCCCAAAAAATTTCAGAACCAGAGAGAGATATCTTTTCTTGAAAATGGAGACGGTAGATTTGATTAACAGAAGTAGTGCTAGCTAGCTCTGAATTAAATGATGGATAGAGAGGGAGAGAAACCTAAACATCAATCACAACCGTTGGTTTGTGGGGCACCAAAAAACCATTTTGGCCCTTCCTTGGTTATGGGCCCACTCTAAACCCATCCCCCGTGAGGAATGCCACGTGTACGTTCAGATGAGCCGTTACCCTTTACGGGATTCAACACTGTATCATCATATCTTTGGAGCAGAATCCATGCTTTAGAAAATTAAAAAGGATCTTAATCATATGATTAGTCTGGTCTCGGTATCCCAAGCTACCATGAAACAATAATAAAATAATGCTATATTTACAAGAAAGACCCCTTACCCAGCCAAAATTACAAGGTTGCCCGAATCTAGGCTTTAAAAGATGAAAAGGACACTTTTGTCCTTTTAGGAAATGGAAGTGTCAATGTCGTCTTTTGCAGTAGCACATTAAAAAAGCCTGAACTCCGAATCCGATACGGGAACCGGAGGATACTGGGCCAATCAAGACATCCCACGTCAGCCTGTCACGCGGCCCCACGTGCACGAAGCTAACGTGATGTGCGATGATTGACTCCAACCATACGAGATGAACTGTAGAGAATTTTGAAACAGAAGGCCTGAGACCACGTCAGCAAGCTTTTCTCCGGTTTCTTATATCTCGCCAGCTCGGACAGGTCCAGACTTTGCTTTGACCGCAGTTTGACCGAAGGAGTCACTGCGTTGGACGGCCATGACTCGTCGCTTTCGTTCTAAGTTTTTGGATTCTAGCCTGCACAGGGTACAACCATTAAGGGTATTTCCGTCATTTTCTTCTGCTGTAGGGACCATCTAATTTCCTCATAATTAAAAGGAAGGGTCCCACGTTATCCCTGTTCAGAACATTTGATCCTGTAAGAAACAACCCACCAAACTGTCGTTCTCACGCTTCTCTCATTTATCCAGCTGACCCCACAGTGTCGAGATTCTGGTCCCATTGACCGTTCGTTTATGGATGAACATATTTTATGCCAAGATTCTGATCGAACGGGTCACCCGCCTTATTTTTACCACTTGGACAGATCATTTGGTCTTGGACGATCAGTACCGTCCATCTCATAGCTCGAAGATGCCCTAAGAAACGGCCCACAACTTGACACGTGGAGAATATACAATACTCACACGTCAGACATTCGAATCTCTCTTAAAAAAATAAAAACAAAAAAAGACATGTTCCCACAGGACTGAAGCGCACATATATATGGGCTACCAAGAGACATGGTTTTGGGTTTGGGCTCCATAACTTCACCATGTGCTGATGTTCATATGGTCGTTAGATGGGCCCCATCCAAGGTTGTCAGTGGATTGGGTTAAGTGATAAAGATAGTGTCCTGTCAGCCTTAATCAGGTCGGGTTAAGGAGATAAGCCATCGAAGCCAACCCGTAACATTGCAGAATTAAAAGCACAGAATTAAATGTGCAGTGTTGGACGATTGGAACTTGGTTGGTCGGGTTGGGTAGAATAACCAAATCTTATCGGATCCGATCCGTTGACATCCCAGTTAGCCCCACCTGAAATTGTAAGATCACATCAAAAGCACAGAATTTAAAAAAAAAAAAAAAAAAAATCATGTTTCAAGCTGGCCTGGTTAATCTCCGTGGCGAACCACTACGCCACTTGAATATGGCACATGTTATATTTGGTCAATTTTATCAGAATTGGACCGGATGCAAAATTGTTTTAGTTATTGGATCACAGGTTCAACGGTTCAACAGGTCATATGGACTATTTCATTTGTTTAAATAAAATGCGAAGAAAATAGAGTAAATTTATTTTAAATCAAAACAATTTTTTTGCTGCTAAATCAAAACAAAATTTAAAAATAAATATTAGAGGTTTTTTTTATTGGCAAATAGATATTTGAGGTTATGATGTAATCTAACTAGGTTTTATATCGTAACATATCTCCTCATATGGTTCAATTTGGAAAAATTATAAATATAGAGTTTAAAACCTTGTATTTTGTATTGTTTTTTATGTATTTGTACTTTATATATTTGTAGTTATACTCTTCCCAAACTCAGCCTATCATACAATATGTGTAGGTTGGTGGGTCTCATGAAAAAAAAAGAAACTCGTGTTCTTGTTTGAGTATTAGTGGGTCCTATGGAAAATAATGACTTCAAAGCGGCGCATTTATCCAAGTAATACCTTCTTCAGGCTTGGATAAATCACTTTCCCTTCACATGTATAAAATTGCTAATACATGATGGGATAATATTATCCTTTCAATAATGACACTTTTATGGATAAAACGGTAATTGTATAATTTTACCTGGGAAACAAAAGAACACTTGTAAATACACCTATATGAGCATGTGTTTTCTAGGAAACATTTGCCCAAGTAGGTGCATTTTCCTTGGAAAATGACATACTATTTAACGAACGAGGACATGGTGGTAAATACCTCCATTTTCCATGGGTTGCAAGTATTGATTAACTCACTCACTAGAACAATGTCTATTTTATTAGAAGGCTTCTAATACCTTCTCTTCTTTCCATCTGTAGCTTTCTAGGAACCTTCTGTTGGGGCCTCACAACAACCATTCACAGTATAAAATCACAAGGTATTTGAAAAAACAACCACAAGAAATCTAATAGCAACAAAAAGATGAAATCCAAGCAAAGACAAATAAAATAAGTGCCACAAAGAACACAAAGATTTATGTTGTTCGGCCTTATTACCTACGTTCACGGGAGAAACGAAATCTATTCTTCACTATAAAAGAAAACTAAGAACAATACAAGTACCTTACGGCTTGTAGCCCAAACCAACCCTTACCCTTGTACACCCGTTCTTCCTTTCCTCTTAACTTGAAGAACAAAAACAAGAGAAAAACCACTCTCACGCCAAGAGCACTCTGCATTTTTTCTCTCACACCTTTTCTCCCAAAAAACCTTAACCCTACATACTAAGAAAGTTTTTATATGTAAAACCTCTTTAACCTAAAGAGGGACCACACCAATCGTTTGATCAAAGTTAATCTAGCGGTTGTAAAAAATAAGACAATCCCAACAATCTCTACCTTGGCTTATTTTCAACCACCTTAGAGATATACTATTTGTGCCTCCACCTGTTTGCAAATACCGCAAACCTCCATTGGCCTTAAATCAATTCATTATTGTTTTATATTTTGTTTGGTGTGTTTCTATGAATTACTCCTTGAAGCATAAACTTATAAAACTTGTATTAGTTAAAAAGTTCTTAGCCATTGGATAAACTTAAGAAGTTTATTGACAATGTTGACACTAATGTACTGTTGAAATGGTGGAGCAACTTGCCTCTATTGCTAGGGCTAGACCTAAGTACAGTCAATGGGTGTTTGTAACAAATACTAAATATGGATCAATTTTCAGTTATGCCCTAGACCTTAGAGGTAGATGAGCAAAACTAGAAAGTTGTACTTAACCCCGTACTTGAAAGTGATACTATACTAGGTCTTGGGTTGGGCTGCTTTTGACATGCCAACCAAGAAGATCCTCTTAAAGGTCAAATACATGGGCATGTGTTGGAGTAGCTCAAAATATTACCTAAGTGGGTGATCATTATGATAGGGTCAATCACTTTGTCAGATAGAGAATATCAAGGTTAACACTCTTTGATGGAAACCTAAAAGTATCAATAGTGCATTTTAACTATTTTTGAAACCTCTTTGTAAAATGCATTTATATTTTTGACATATTATTTTATGAAAAATTGTTCACAAAAAGTTTTAATCCTGAATCCATCTAAATAAATGGTGTGGCATTGCATTTAACAGTCAAGAAAGGGGTCATTCCCTATGAGTAGTGTTTGATCATTTAGGACTAAGAAGTGAAGAGCAAATGACCATTACATGGCTAAAAAAAACGAATAGGCATTATCTTATGTCAATTCATGACCCTTGAACTTCATAGGGTGGCTAATACCAAGAGTCACTTATGCTTAAGTATTGGGCCCATACTAAGCCCAATTTGATTCGCTCAGGGCTTCATTGACTTTGTTCTGTGAATTCGACCCATGTGTTTCTTGAAATGGGTAAACCTATATGGACTAATATAAGGGTTTTATGGGTTCCATTTCATACATTATTCAAGCCCAGTAAGGCTTGCAACAATTATGTTAACGAACCGAGTTCAGCTTCGGTCAATCCCCATGCTCTCACCATTTGTACATTATGAGAATGCACCACACGTCCATAGTCGCGTGTTTTTTCTAAACCTATGTGAGGAGAGATCTCACACTATTAGCTTGAGTCTCTCTCTTTTTTTTTTTTCATTTCCCTTCCCGCTTCTTTCTCTCCAAAACCCCTATTCACTTTCTTCCTCTCCAACCAGCAGTGATGAACGGTATCATCGGTGAACATCAACGAACACAAATTCGGTGGATGCATTGGAAGACTCACAATCTACTTCTTTCTTCAAGAAGCTACCCTCTTCTAAGACCATTTGAACAAGTAGGAACCCTAACCCATTGGCCATGGTGAGCATCATTTATTTGATATTGGCTCTAAACTCCTCCAAGTGCACAGACCCATTAGAGTCACGATCAAATTGAT